CCCCCCCCCCCCCCCCCCCTTCCCCTTGCACAGAAGTTATCATAGCTGTTGATTACACACGGTCAGATTCAACTGAAACTCAAAGCATTCCAGCCCCTTTGCCGGCATCACCGGGCAAGCGCACTACCACGCTTGAGTCCTACTTGAAGCTGCCTCTAACAACAATGCATCCGTACAAATCAACTATAATTGCGCCTCCTCCGGCTTTATTTAGTCACACCTTGCCATCACATCCACCCAACAGCCCAACAGCTCCCTCATTATACTTCAGCGGATCGCTCAACCCCACAGTGTCACTATAGTGCAGTAAACGTCATCTCCTGCGGTGCATTTCCCCGTCCACGTTGACTATCGTCCAGGCCACTGCTGCAAACACGTACAAGCCAATACACTAGAATGGCACATACCATTAAATGCTTGCCCAGCCAATTTCAGGGGCACTTCCATTATAGTCCTTTTGTACCCTCCGGCAGGACCAAGTACAGCACAGGCAAACAACGAAGCCCAGAGCAGCATACAGTTTCGTGAAGCTGTTTCTCTGAAATTTTCCCTAGGTTACGTGACAACTAGAAAACTAAGACAGTCTTTACTATAAGACTCTGGAATGGGCAAGGTCCCGATACGTAAAGAAGAATTATTGCCTGCAATTGCTACACGGCTCTCATGTCGTGGTTCGTTTTATGCATTCGTCCTCTTTGCCATTGCAATATATATCTCGAATCGTGGTGAGAAGCAAATTGACCCCGTGCAGCAGGGGTGCTCGTTTATTGGTTGAATTCCTGGAATCGGGCGAGGGTCGACAACAATCTGCATACATACTGTAGCGCATTAGACCTCCATGAGAAGTTTTCGGAGTTTTGCCAAAAGGAGGCTACATCCAACGCACAATCCATTCTTTTGAAAGCCTGAAGATATCCCTCTCACCTCCACACTCATATAGCATTCAACCTTGTGGTCTAGTTAGAGAAGCACAGCGGCTCGTGTCTCTTCAGCAGTGAATGGCTACCAGCTTCCTCACATTTGCAACTTGACGTGTTTAAAAGCAGGTATGTGTATGCTTTAACTGCATGTTGTGACTACCTACAAGGTGCAGATGCATTGATCCCTTCTACAGCAACCTCTGTGAGGGGGGTGCAACTACTTGGCGCATGCAGACTGTAGGCGTTGACAGGAAAAGCAAAAGCATTATTTATTTCTCCATAATAAACCGTTGAACGCAGGCTGAGTGCGCTGGTCGCCGTGGTCATAAAATACTTTGGATTAATCGTGGCGGCTTGTGTTTGCTCGTTACTTGACAGGTTTTTACTCGGCTCCAAATGATTTTCGCCCCGACTGCAAAATACCATTCTCCAATAGAAACCTACAGGTGGCTCAGCTGTGCTCAAAACAAGAAGCTGAACCGGCCCAGCCGCACATCTGTGGGTTTGCTGCTGTGGGTGAGTTTACTATGCCCCCAGGAAATGCAACCAAAATCGGCGTTGTTGGCGCGCTGATCGGCATGCCTGCTCCACGTTTAAGAGATGCTTCGACGCCCTCCCTGGCAGAGAGACGCAACAGTCTGGGAGAGCCTCCATGCCGTCAGCGTTCTGCATGTTCTGCCATGTAAAAACAGCCCGGGTGGATAGCCATCCAGAGGGTCTGCACGAGATGATTGAACAGGTTGCACGTTGCCAGGGGACTGCAGATAATTACAACCATAGTTTCCATGGGCTTTGGCACGAATACCTCTAGTTACTGGCTCAGCCCGCGAAGGACAAGCAAGCGTTCGAGCTGTCAAGTAAATATTGACAAGAACTTGTAGCTACTTAATTTATTTGTACCGCATTGGATGCAATAAACTTACACCGAATAGAACTGCACCAGCATACTATTCCCGGTGCAGAAAGTTTTGAATGGAGTCAGCGGAAGCACTAGCACTAGTACTTGGGTTCACATTAGGGGGCCACCTATGTGTACGACCTTCCTCTTAAGCTTTCGTGCATACAGCAATAGAAAGTTGGGCAATGTTTATTTTCGGGGTTGGGTCGCCGCAGGACTTTGAGCAAGTGTTGCTGCTAAAAAAGACACCGTCTCCTCACTCCCCAAAAGTTTTGGTTGTGACGCAGTTCACCATTATCATTGGCTCCGTGAATCAAAATTCAATCACGAGGGAAGAGGAACACTCTCCATTCATAATATTAATAGGAATAATATAGAATTCAATGAAGTTTACGTGTACCGACATACAGGGTAGCACAAATAATAGAGACGCTCGATGGCGGAAGCAACCAATCCTTGCCAAAACCAAAATACAGCAGAGCCACCAGGGTTTAGGCAGCAAAGCATTAAGAGTTTCGTAGTCTAGGCACATATAAACAGGCGAAAGTAATGGGCAACACAGATTTCACTGTAATATGAGCTAAACTGCAAGTGTCGCTTAGCTTGCATTTAATTGGAGTGTCTCTCTGCTTCCAGAGGCTGGGTGGAGGTCCTGTCGTGAGCTAGCGACGCTCGCGGAGCACTATGTCTAGTCCGGTATACCGTCTCGCAAGGGGGACACCTATAAATAATGCCCACGCTCTTAAACGTGACATAATTCTACAATAAAACACATTCCAGTCGCCTTATGTCGGAAAAACCGGGGAGGAAAGACCTCTCATGTTGGTCAGTTCCTCTACTGCGCAGCCAGCCCCGAGAAACGGATAGGTTTATGGGCACTCATGATCTGTTTTAGAACACATGTTACATTGTAGTGGGTTCTTTCTATGGGATAGGCAGCTAGGATAATGCTGGTATGTCAGTTGTAGTGCTGGTGACTTACAGGTAGTGCCTTCGCGTGAGGAAAGAAAATCCGTCGGCATAGGGGACATATTAGGTTGATTTGTGCATCGAAATCCACCTATGATTATTATTTACTATTGATCATTAAATTCTGTCGAGGTTACTCTGCAGTCGTTCGGCTTGCTAGCCTGGTTTTGCCAGTCTCTAAAGAGTGCCCGCCGAAATCGAGCGGCGTCCTTTGCAACGTCGGCGCACCCAGTGTCTTTTTTGCGCGCGATCACTCTGGTTACTTTTCAAAGTGTGATTGTTCAGATCAATTAATATTGCACTTAGCTTCATTTTGTACAGTTTGGAAAGACTCTCTGCAGGATCATAAGATGTTCCCGGCGTTTGGCTTTGTGGCGGCTTCAGCATATCTGAGCGTAGGGTTGATCGAAAGGACCAGTGCTGCAGATCCCAGAGGCAACGGAGTTTCTTCCCTCTCTAATCCTGAATATCCAGTTGAAAATGTTACACAGGAAAAGTTCCTAATGGCGACTACCGAAACAGCTGCGCTATCAAAAATCCCTGTGGTGTGGGCTGCGCTGTCCGGAGCTGTCTGCGCAGCATTGTTCCTCGTTCTGAAATACATTCAGCCCTCCACCTCCTCCCAGAAAGAAGCTGGAGAAGCAATTCGATCCCATCGTACAAGGAAGGACGCAGAGGGAGATGAAAGTTTGGAGGGAGATGAGGGACTGGCTGGTGCTGGTGATGGAGAGAGTGGGGAGGAGGATGCAGCTTCTTCCCATGATGAAACTAAGGTAGGGGGAGGGGCTTCTGGCTTTGTTATGGAACAAGAAGAATCCGAAGAAGAGGGCATAATGACACCTTACCATCAATCTGGTGCCATTAACACTGACGATGACAAAAGTGAAGCAGATACTGAGGATGATGAGGATGCCAGCATCCACAGAGTGGATGATCTGATCGGTCCCGACCCCATCCCAGAGAGAGGCCAGCCATGGCCACCAGCAGACCCCGCAGTTACTCTGGGGAGAAAAGAGGTGGAGGAAAGGGTGGAAGATATGCAGAATATCGTGGATTGCATTGAGGGGAGTGAGAGAGCAAAACCTTTTAGAGGCAGCCGAGGTCATTCGTTTACTTATCTGCTGTGGCAGGCATTCTACTGCAGCCAGAAGAACCTAAATGCTGAATGCGGCCCAGATGTTCCTAGGGAACTAAATAAAAATTTCAGAGAGCTTGTTCAGAAAATGGAAGACCTAATCTTTGCGTACCGTTTTGTAAGCAGGTGGGCATACAGTTGAACTAGCTTTCTGCTGTAAAGTGGAAACTTGAACGTATCTAAACAACGACGACTAATGCTTGGTAGTCCCCCAAATGTATGTATTCCACATTTCCATCCTAGCGGAGTGTTTTTGAATTTGACCAACTAACGGATGACATGCCACTATTGTGTGTTCGGCTTGTATGCGCTTGTAGGAACAAGGAGCGGGAAATGATTTACGACGACTAGTGACGATAGGCAATGCTTTACGCACAATCGAAGTGGTCGACGGGCGGGAGAGCAGCAGGGGTCTCTGTGGGGAACATTGGGTGGCTGGCTGGAGCTCATAGAAGCTCATAGCTGGGAAAGCCGAACTAGAGGGCACAAGACTAGTTGATGCGTATTAACATATAGTTTTGAAATGCAATTTGGGCAGGGAATGTGATGTAGCAGTAGGAAATCCCGGTGAAGGGGGGCTGAAATGTTTTGACTGCACGTTTCTTTTGAGCGTATCTAACCTACAGCTCGGAGGGTGTTTGTCCAAGAGGGAAAATCCTTCTACGGTATGCAGTTATGCACCAATTGTGCTGCAAGCCAACAATGCTGGAACGAGCAATTTGAACGACTTGGTTTGGTTTCTAATAATGACCCCTTCGTACTCTTTCGTAGGGCCGGCGAAAGCTGCAGCTGCTAGAGAAATAGTACCCCTATGGCGTTTGACAGAAGCTCACATATTCTCCTAGTTGCACCTGTGACAAAGGGCGCTACGTTAGGACGGGCAGTGCTCCAGCATCGCGGGTGTATCTATGGAACAAGGGTACGGGGGCTCTTATAGAGCAGTAAGCACCTGCCATTGGCATGAGGCTGCGTGTTCCCGCTTGCTTGTTAACGTGCCTGAGCCATCTCAACTTCCCATTGTAAGACTTCCTTTTCCCCTACCATCCCAGTGTTGAAACCGGTGCCTGGGTGTAAGACAGATTTGACATTTGGAATTGCATGAGAGGGATGAAGTTCGACAACCCATTGGCACCCTGGAATCTCGAATCCATTGAAAATTTGCGCTGCTGTAAGGCCGCCCTCCGTAAATAGCTAGGAGCTCTACCCCCTACAGTGTGGCAGGTATGCGTTTGTACCCACCTATGTTTCGGGCTATTTGCTTGGCGTGTCTTCATGCTTCCCGTTAGAACTGAGGTAATTATCCTGGGCATTGGCTTAAAATGGGTGGCTGGACTTGGGAGAAGCTCCTGAAGATCAACAGCAAGCTAGGGGTCCCCGACAGAAGCAACTCACCAAGTTTTGCTTGGGTCGCCTACATTTGTGCCTCTGTTTGCACTGAGCTGCTTGCTTCTTCTTCAATCTAATATAATTTCCAGTTTTTGGCTGCCAGGCAAGCGATTTTTTGGGGCAGGGGTGCGCGTCCACCGGTTGGATTCTAGAGTCGGCGGAGGGAGGCGATGAGATACTCTACACTCGAAAGGTATAGATGTTCTGACGACATATAAGGCCGTACGACAGGGACGGATGAGTGTGACTTGAAAATTCTCAGTTTATTTCTCCCAATGAATCCAGACATTCCACACAACTCCACAGGCATGAAGCAGTCAAGCATCTGACACAGGCAGAGCAACAGGGCGGGTCGTGCCTCTGCAGCAGTGGATGATCGTGGCCGTATTCGCAAGCTTTAGAGCAGGTCTTTTACCTTTTTAGTGCAAGTTTTTGTTTACTGCATGGTGCATTTTGGCTTACTCCTCTTAAAGCAGCCTATAATAAGGGGGTTGTTATTGCTGGTCGCATCCAGATCGGCCAAGTGGAACGGCTCTGGAAGACCATCACTTCTTTCGTTGCAGTTATTCAGTTCCTTGAATGCAGGCTAAATGAATTGGCCGCCATGGCTACAGGATACTTCAGATTAGCCTTGGTGGCGTGTGTTTGTTTGTTGCCTAAAGCTGCCTGGGGCATTGCTGTTGCCCAGGAGCGCGTATCAGAGACACTACCATGGGCTCATCATGGTGATCGTTTTCAACTTGAAGTTAACGAATTTGATAATATAACGAAGGTTCCTGCAGCTCCGCATGCTTCTGGTCTCAGATCGTCCGTTCGTATCCTGGAGCGAGTTGCAGTGGTCGTTGCTGCCACCACAAGTCTTTTTCTCGTCTTCAAATGCTCTTCTCTCCAAAGGCGAAATGCCATCGCGCACCATACATCTGGAGACGGTTTAGCCGTTCCCCAGGGCAATGTCGAACCCTCTGAACTTTACACAGGTGGTCTTGCGGCTACGGCTGTTGAACTCTGTAGTGCTTCAGGGGAAAAAGACGAAATTGATGTTGTTGGAATGCAGATCAGTATACTTACGTTAAATCCAGACGACGCTTCGACGCTGTCCTCAGCAGAGAGACGGATGGTAGCAACGGCTCTGGAGAGTCTTGAGGTCATCGGTCACGAGTTGGAGGTGCTGCATGCGAAGGCAGCGGACTTAGGTCGCCAGCTAGAGGATGTACACAATAAGATTAAACAGGTCACAAAAAGCCATGGAGCTTTGGAGGATTCCTGGCAGGGTATGCTAGAGCCTTTGCGGGCAGCGGCTGAAAGACTGGAGGAGCAGACCAATAGTGCCCGGGAAGCCTATGAAGAAAGAGACAAACAGAGAGACCAGATGGGATACTCCGCAGCTCAAGAGCAGCGCTATGCGCTTCTCCTATCGGAGAATGCAGAAAGAAGCCGTAGCGATGGCACTCCTCCACTTACCCCTAGAGCAGCTGCAGCTGTCGCAGCAGCGGAGAGGGTGTTACAGGTCATGCGCCGCCATTCCCCTTTACCTGTATTTGGTCGTCCCCCTCTTTCTCAGCAAGCAGAAATGGCGGAGAATATGGCCAAAGTTCACTTAAGAGCGCTATCTCAGGCCTTGCAACACTGGAACAGCGACAACACTGCATTGATTGCAGCAGCCGAAGAAGCCTTAAGAGAGGCCAAAGCAGTCCTCGGACAATTGGAGGCGGGAGGCATGAGTGAACCTTCCAAAAGCTTGAGGACCGCAACGGACTACCTGCAACTAGCTATTGAAACAGCCAGGAAAAGCGGACCGAGCCGTCTGCATTTTGGCACCGTGAGAGAAAAGACATCAGCAGCGGCAGCCAGGGCTGTGGCTTGGGTTAAGGCACAGACAATGTCGGCTTTGCGTATAAGTCGAGACCTGGGCAAGATGCTAAGAAGCATGGACCATACAGAAGCGCAATACAAGAAGATTGAGGCACTGCTTGCAGATGGTATCACGATATTTACAGTTGCACTGCACACAGAAGTTTCACAGGAAGTTCCGTACGAAGTCTATGAGCCATTCAAGCTTGCACTGCATATGTGTGAGAGGGTGCTGAAGGATGCGGCGAATTTGCTGCAGCCACGCTGGCTTGCAGCTATAGACAAGCAGAAGAAGCTACTTCTGCATGCAGCAGATGCCGTGCGTGAGACGCGGTTGCAGTCCACCGCCAGCGGCACTAGTGGTATCGATGAGCTTCTGGAAAGCGACATGCGACACTGCCGAGCCGCATTGAACCAAGCAAAGGCCCTTTACCAAAGTATGATGGGGTTCGCGGCCTTCAGACCAGCACTCCCCGTCCTGACGAACGCCTGCGCAGGGCTGAAACTCACCATGGATAGCGCACAGACACAGCTCGTGCAGGCAGCAGACAAGCTGGCTTCCGCGTGGGAGACGGAATTGAAGAAAGCAATGAAAGCCTTCAGAGCGCAATCAGATGATGATGCACGGCAACTCAGTTCGCGAGTAGATGAGGGGGAGTATGCCTTAGCCCGCATTTATTATCTCGCAGACCCCTCACCGCAGTTTGAAGAGCTTGAGGAGTCGCTAAAAAGAGCCAGGCTTTTGGTTACAGAGTCCAAGAAGCATCAGCAACAACCGCGACAGTCTGAGCAGCAGCGAGTGGATATAATGAGTACAGGGGCTATTTCGCGATTGAGGCAGTGGCTGATGCAGAAGATATCGGGACAGGAATGATAGCAGGGATTCAGCAATTCGTGGTACCCTCCCGTTTCCTACTGCTGTTTCTGAAGACCAGCTGGCGTCTTTCTTATGTCGTCCCAAATGAAGGGAAACATGCCATGATGACTTTTTGTTGCGTCTTTAGCAACAGGAGTAGGAGCAGGAGCAGCAGCCTGACGAGCTCTGTCTGGTTGCTGCTGTTTAGTTGGAAGTGGCATTCTCCTGGACTGTCTTCATCAGTGGATTCTGGCTGCAACGCTTTCATGCAACAAGACCATACGGCGAAGTATTGTTTTGTGAGTTTTGCCGTGCAAGCGGCACAGCTGAAGGTTAGTTTGGCCATGAGCGGCGTTGGCTTTAATTTATTTGGAGTGACGAATTAGACATTCGACTGTACCGCTCTCATGCGACCTTCCTCGTCTAGGCTTGTGTGGAGGCCATATTCTCGCCATTGCTGTTTGCCCGTATGGATTTAGTCTTCATCCCATTATGTTGATCTAACCATCTCTTCAGAAGAGCGAATGGAGTGTTGTTTTCGCATTCTTGACGTTGTATGCTTGTTAGTTACACGAGGTGGCAGCATGATGCATTTCAAGTGAAGTGGGTCTTTTTCGCCAGTACTGAGGAGCTCTCAAGGAGCATTTCAGCTCGGTTACCCTGTTGTTTCCCGGTTTATTGGCATTTTGGCTGCCAACTGGTTCGTGATAGTATTTTCTACTGCACAACTCGCAGCACAGCTTCCCGGGGTACAGGTATAGAGCACTGCGTTCGCCGTGTATTGCGAAGGGCACGACGAACCGGCTTGCTGGTATTCGTGCTCCGGATCACTTTGGAGCGTGGGCCGTATATGATTACTAGCCAGTAGTTTTATGTATATGCACGTACGCTTATTCATTTTCACGTATGCGCGTGTATATATATGGCAGTAATGTAGTTTTCCAGTGTATTCAAACTTACGTTACGCATACACGCATGTACACTTTTTATTGCGTGCATATGCGTGAGCGTATGCGTGTTAGCTGGAACTTGCATTTCAATGGATTATTTGTTAGAAGGCTTTCTAAGGTAACCTGAACAGCTGCCTGTCCCCGCCTTTGTGGCAGCCAGGGTCATTGCATCTCTCCCTGTGTTTGATTATATATTGTCCACAAATATAGACACCTAGTGGCTTTATTCCGCGTTGCTATGTATCTGTACGTGCCACAGCGGAGTGTGGAGACGGATACGTGTGACATTGTTTACGTGGAATAAGTTGTGGCAGTGGGTGCAATAATCATGCAGAAAGGGCCTCCTCCTTAAGCGTCTAAACCTGAGGGGCTTGTTTTGGGGTACCTGAAGTACGGGAGAGTGAGCAGCAGTTCTTGTGGACATTTTTCTGGAGCGCGGTTGTAACGCGGCGGCTTCAGAAAGTCCTGGCAGGAGCGCACAAAACCGTGGAACAATAACGTATCCCAGCTAGACGCTTGGGTCAGTTTGCGCCAATGCATTTTCAGCCAATGCACTACAGCAACAACAGCAACAGCAACAACAACCGCAGCAACAGCGACAAAAGCAACGACAGTGACAATCTCATTTTTGCTGTGAGGGGCTCAAACCGTGGTTTGCTTGAGAAAGGTGGAAGCGAAAGTAGGGGAGATAAGCGTAAACATAATCGTAGAAATAGTAGGCTGCCGGCTGCCTCTGGCGTTTGCCACTGCACATTCCATCGTCCCGCAGTCGGTCAGGCATGCTTAATTGCGTAGGCATAAGTATGGTAATTCACTTGTAGGATGGCCTGTCGGAGTGCCATCGTATGCAGGACCCGAAGTTTCTAGGGGAGTTACACTTTTCTCAGTTACTTACAGGGTCGGTGGAAGTTGAAATTTATTAAGATACGCTTCTGGCAGGCCGAAGCAGTTGTACCTTACTGGAGTGTATATAATAGCTTGCGCGAGGAGTGGCTAGGAGGGATGAAATAAGAGGTTCGACTCTCGCTAGAACAAGTAGGCAGGGGCTCACCAAAAGAATGCTGTCCGAGTATGTGGCTGCGTCAATCCCTTCACTGTGGAGGCATTGTTGCAACCACCGCCATAAGCAGCCTGCCTCCTCGAGAGAACGTTAGAAGCCTTCAACAATATCTTTGCAAGCTGCTGTCGGCTCACGCCGGTGATCACTAAGAGTGCCCTCCAGGCCGCGCCTAGAACATCATCCCACCCAGTTTCTCACACGAGGCCTTCCAGAAGTACCAACATATATCAAACTCTGTGTTTGTTGTCCACTGCAAGCCCGCTGAGCGTCCTTAGACGCGTCCGAGATATGTGTGGCGGAGCAGTCTGCAGTAGAGGCTGGTGCACTTCAAGAATCACTGAACCCACGTTTTGCCAGCCTACCGTGGCGCTTTCGGAGTGCTGCAACAGAGGACATTCTCTTTAGATGCCTTGACTCTAGTGCTTCCTCCCTGCGTTAACGGAACTTGGTGTACTGGCCAGCACAAAACGGATGCGCCAGCATACGGCCTCACCCGGCAGTAGGTTGAAATGTTACAAAGCGCTACTGAGAGATGAAAGCCAGCAAAAATGTGCGGTGTGTAATGCCGGAGAGGAAAAAGGCCAGCAACAACTACTGTGACAGAGCATATGCGCGAAAAACAGTCAAATGAGGACTATACTGAGAAGGGCCAGTATTTCCAAGACACGGACTAACGTTATAAACCGGCAACCCGCAAGATACTCCAGGCCTTGCTGCTTTTCGGCAGCAGTTGTTTTATCCACCAGCAAGCGATACGTGTGTGCTGAAGCCGTGAGTGTCGAAAACACCGCTCAGCCGCTGCCTGAAACGGATGAGGTAGTAATGAAGTCGTAAGGGTCCAAATAGTCCGATACCGTCGAGCACACCGGCGCCCAATCAAACTATCATCGTAGTGGCATACAAGATGGGGAGCAACCAGGCGGATAGTACGCCCGTACTCCTGCCACCCAGTGAGTTAAACCCTTCCCAACTGCAGTCAAGGGCATTGTTTCGATGGAGAGGCTAGCCTCTGCATCTTCAAGAAACTGATAGGCTGGTAGCTGAACTACGACGGCTTGTTGAAACAGGGCTCACTCACAACCCGCATTTCGTCCAGAAGAGTGTATGGTGCGAGTGCGACGCGGCGTACCTGTATCTAATTCACCGCCATGTACTGCATGCTAGGGTGGGTGCCAAACATATCGAGAAGTATTTAATACTTTGTGGTTGTGTCATATCACATGAAGAGGTTTTCTTTTAACTCTGCTCTGCTGACGAGCTGCTTAACAGCAGGGAGAACGCGGAGTGGCAGATGCCCCCGTGGAAGGTGGGAAAAGGATCAAAACTTGCGAGTTAAAACAACATTCAAACACTTCAGGTTCTTCAAAGACTTCCCTAGGCACGCTCACTGCCACGTTTGATTCCCACTTCAAACTGCCTTTAACAACAATGCATCCGTTCAAATCAACTATCCTAGCACCTCCTCCGGTTCCCTTCGGCCACACTTTGCCATCACATCCACCCAACAGTAAAACAGTCCCTCCACATACTCCAGCTGCTCGCCCAAGTCTAATGTGTCCCTGCGGTGCCTTAAACGTCATCTATTGTGAGACATCTCCCCTTCGGCGTCCACTCTCGTCCATGTCCTCGCTGCACAAACGTACAAGCCAACACGAAAGAATGGCACATGCCCTTCGTTGGCTGATCAAATTCAACTGCTACGCTTTCAACGTTGCTAAATTTTACAACTCTGTTGACTTCAAAGCTACCTCAGCGCAGCTCAACGACATACGAGGCTGTCAAACACTAAACACTGCTAAATGCATTTACAGCAAACCGCCTATGCGGCTGTGTGATGTTAAAGTGTTACCAAACTCACCTGCGGGTGCCATAGACGCGGAATAAGACATCTTCAATAGAACTAATAAGGTCATTGAAAGTTGCGACCATCTCTTGCGTAACGGCCTTGTCAAATTGCGCCAGCTTGTTCTCCTGGCGGAGGCCGAATGCTTCACGCAGCCGATGCCCAACGGATTCACCTGTGCTATCGGCCATACTACCTGATTTCTCACCCTCATCAATCAACTTAAGCACATGTTTCATTTCTTTGATCTTGGTTTCCACTTCTTCCTTAGTCAGAACAACCGGTGGGTGTGCTGGTGGATATGCTTTACTGTCAAACTCTGGGTCTGCCGCGGCAACCTCAGCAGCTCCCCAAGTCTCGAGATTTTCTTCACCTGTGAGCCATTCAACAATGGGCTTTCCACCGGGGCCTACAGCCGGCTTAAAGCCAGCAGTGGGTCCCTTTGCGCCCTCACCCTCACCATCGGCCGTTTCCTTATCGGAGGAAGAAAACCGTTGAACGCGTCTCAAAAGCAGAAACAATGCTGTGGAGAGCGCTACAAGGAGCGCCACCCCCGCGACGGGACGAACTGAAAGCGGCGTTGTTTTAGTCGATGCCGGTTGGATCTGTTGTTCTACATGTTCAGCCTCATGTTCAATAACGGCTACAGAGGGAACTCCGTTGCCCTGTGGGCCGGCTGCAGTGGTCTCTTCAGGCAGCCAGACGGTCAGGTAGAAAGCAGCAAAGACTATCGCAACGGTACGCAACATTTCGTCGTCCTGTCAAATGTCTTTCAAACGAACCGTCAACAACTAACACTAAGAATTAAAAAAATTGTCAACGCAACCGTCTTTCAAAATGTCCACCGTTTGCAAATTGGCCAGACACCCGTAGGGCGTGGGCGGTGTTATGCTCTCCCTGTGCAGCGCACCATCACAACCGCCAAATGGTTATATGCTGGGAACAGTCGGAAGCAAGAGCCCCGACGATACGGCGGGTGCACTACACACGTCGGAGAAAAATTAATGTTTAACTTGCTTTTGACACGCGAATTAAAGTAGGATATTCCTCCTACTTGGAGATTTCTACCTCTCTGTTGAAGGCTATACTTTTACCAACCACTCCAGCTGGCCAGCCCCTACGAACGTTTCGTCTCGCTCACTTCCTGGATAAATGCATGTCGTGCTCTTTAAGTTTGCCTTTTCATATAAACCATACTTGTTAGACTGTTAATGGCTTGACATCACTGTACGGACTAACTATGCTGCCGTATGCTAGACATTGCGAAACCCCATATACAGAACCACAGGTCCTTGCGCGCCAAATCTGTCTATAGTGAGCATGAACCGTTACCAGGCCGTAGTAGACAAATTCTAAGCACCAAAAATTTCCCGACAACTGCCAACAGTGTTTGGTCAAACAACGAGCAGGGTAACTTGTGGATATGGGGTTGTATATCTGCTTTTGCACAGAGCTGCGTTGCAACTGAGAGCAGCCACCTTTTTATCTCTAAAATCTAGGCGCATGACCGCTGAGCTCAGGAAGCCTGGATGCTGAAGAAGGGGTTTAGTTGCGCATAAGGTACTATCATGCATTATTTTGTCAGCAAAATGTGTGCTGGGCCTTGTCGAAGAATTGTTGTGAGCACTATTGGAGCCAAATAACTAAGAATGATAGTTCCTTATATGCAATTGAATGCCTTCAGCACTGTCAAGGCATCCTGGTCTCAGCGATTCAACTGGTTGGAGCTGCGAGAGAGCAGTCCTGCCATGGGTTCCAACGCGCCTTGCAGAACCGAAAGGTCCAAAGCATCTCAGTATGCGCCAACAAGCCTTCCAGACTATATGGATAACTACTGTAGAGAAATCTTGAAAACGTTTGCATGCTCAACGCTTCAGACGGATGCGCCAACAACGCTCTACTGCATCTGCCCCCTCCTTTCGCACAAGCAGCTCATGTCCTCGTACGCCGTAGTCAGCCATGAAGATGACTGTAGTGACACGTAAATATCTCCAGCGGCTGCGCAGCCGATGAGGCCTTATGCTGCGTCCTCTACTCCGATGAGCAAGGCGGTGATGCACGGGGGCGAAATACTCGTGCATAGCTGCCTCGCGCATCTGGATAGTGTGGCGATTGCAGGCTCTACCGAAGTCATGCATTCGGGACATCTGCGCAGAAGACAGCTTCCGGATGCGTCTCTGGTCTTTTATACTGTTGTCTTTGCTTGCTGAGTTTTCTTCTCGGCAATGATGCCTCGGTGTCCAAGGGCGATGCAGGAAAGCAGTAAATGAAAGAGTCCAATGTTGCATTATGAATCCACCCCACACCATAGAATGGAGGTAACCAAGCCACTGAAGAATTATGTTGGGTACAGGATAGCAAGTACTGGACAACCGTGCTGTTGCTGAGTTACATTAGACCTCCGGTCACTGGATGGTTTGCATTGGTCATGCGGTCATGGTCGATGTTAAGCATCCTAATGAATTCAAGCTAGAATGTGCTAAAGAACTTACCTGCCAAGGATGATAATACTACGCAGCTTCCGGAGATGCTTAATGAATAATTGAACCACTCCTGTTGCTGTAATTACAGTATAACAAGGAATACAGTGAAAAAATGGAGCGGCATTCGCACCAACGACGTTACAAGCACTACCAAGTCTTCTTTGCGGCAGGAGATAACGCTGCATGAAATGGTTGAATGTTTTCGCTTCCGTCCAGTCTGCATGCATGTTGCCTACAAAGGCAAAGTTAGTGTTCGTGCATTTACAACATTGCGCTGCACCAATGCCGTCAATCACTTGCAATCCGAGTTCCACAGAGCGTGTACCCGTCCCTACTTTCCCATACATCCTGGTGACATTGACACATAGGCCTTGGGCTGGTGCAGACCAGATGCCGCCTGTCAGCAGTTCAGCGTGCCTTCTTCTGCTCCGGGGAATGTGAACAAAATGTACGCACCTGCAAGCATGTCAGCATGTCGAACCCCCCTTGACTGCATGCGTGCACACAGAAAAGAATTAATAGATACCGAGTGTTGGAACCTGCACGAACGCAAGCTGAAACACGTGCACCACCTTGGACACGGCATGCTACAGCGAAAAAAAGCCTGAACGTTGCAGGGATGCGCGAAAAGAATGAACACTTTCAGTTTGCTTCCCAAATATATAAACAATTAAGCGGAATGAAAAACCGATGCAGGATACATTCTGAATAAACCTACAAACGCCAAGATATGCCTTGCTATGCCAAGTTATGCTGTGCCTTCTAAAGAAGCATTGAGATGAAGCCGCCAAGCGGGGCAAGCCGGACTTATACAAGGTTATTTTTCAAGATAAAATAACGAATAAAATTATGCTTATTTGATTTTTCAATTGTTATTGCCCCCGATTGTTGCAAACGATTATCGAGACACATTGCCACAGCAGAACAGTTAGGTCGCAGTGCTGAAGTTCGAACTGGACAGCCGGAGGCGGTCGGACATTTGAAACAAAGGAAAGAAACCGTGAAATGGATAATTAAACTTATTAATACGTTGTGCCTACCGACTTTTTCACGTTTCCCCTCCGTTTATTCATGCATACTACTATTCGTATATGCCCTGCGAAGGACACCCCCGCAGCATGAGGCGTATTGACGAGCTTTGCAGTGTCCGGTGCTTTAGTGAATGTCCTCCTTAAAAACAGTGGATGACGCTTGTTCGTATTTTGTTTTATAGCTCATGCGGGGAGAACCATTCGCCTGCAAATGACTGAAATGTACCCACCAGTGACGCTTTCACCTGCCTTTGCCCCTCTGAACGCAAACGTGCAGCTGAACAGCACTTCTGCCCCCGCCGCTGCATCTTCCGTGAAAGAGGAAGCTTTCGGTTCTACGTTTTTATTCTTGACTGAAAGAGACCATGCCGCCTCGCCGCCCTCATTGAATACGTATGCTCCTGCCCGTTCCGTTGAGAGATATTTCTCGATGCTAGCGCTATTGGTTTCCATATTTTTGGTCTTAAGATGCATCTACCATATTTCACCAACATATTCATCTGAAGGGACGAAAGGACGCCGTGTTTCAGACAACGCAGGGAATAACCCATGCCAACCAATGCCGAAGCAAGAACAACATCGGCAGCACCCAGAGGGGGCAGTTGCTGCTCCATCAGGGGCTTCTGCAAGCACGTCTTCTGTGGAAGGAGAAGCATCATCTTCGCCACCAACACCACTTATCCCTCCCGGTTACTCCCCCGCGGCCCACTTGCATCTAGTCGACCTTTATCTCCAATCCACGGCAATGCATGCATGGATGCTTCAAGTAGACCTTGCAGAAGCTGATCTTGGCAAAGGCGGCAATGCTGAAGGGTCAAGCCTTGAAGATTTGCTGTGTAAAGGTGTCGAAATTTTAAACGGCCTTCAAGCAATCACCTTCTCGGATGAGGTCAATACTAATGAACGGCACAGCTTCATTAGTACCTTAGGCCAGTTCACTCAGCTTGCGAAACGTGTCTTCGAACAGGTGGAAGGGCGATTGACTGATGCTTGCAAAACACAGACAAACCTACTCAAGTCTGGTCTTGCGAGTGCCTCGGTCCACGTGCAACGCATTATCGACCGTCATCTCATTAACCCAGAGGACCCAGCAGTTCAGACACTCATAGGATTGAGAGAAGCTGTAATTGCAGCAAAGGAAGTGTACGCAATGGCAAAAAGCTGTTACTGTGCCTTATTTGGTACCTCCGCTCTTGTTGACTCCTTAAGAAATCTTTCCGCAGTTCTCACTGCAGTAGAAGGATCCCTGCAGCTGACGGCTGATGCTTGGGCAGACATCTGGATACAGCACCTTGCTGCTCTGCACCAGAGGTCGCAGGCAAGCGGAGGAGACGGGTCAAGGGAAATATTAACCGATATAATGCCGACTGCTGAGAGAATTTTGGAAAAACTCCGCCTAATTTCCGGGAGAACCCGTTCACAATAGAGCACTGCGGGGTCGTCCAGGTAACCCACAGCATCACGTGCCCCTCCTTGAAGCACCATATCAGGGCACCTCGCATTTTGTGAAGGTTCCATACTTTACCAGATTCCGTAGGAGTGTGAGGTTTCTCGAGGTCTGTACACCTTGTATGAGAATATGCATGTTTCCCATCCGTTCGACATAAGTTAGCACCGTATGGGAGTGCATGCGGCAATACTGTTTCCTGTCTGCGCACATGTACAAATGACGAAGGTCCATGCTATCTTTTGAATCCTTGTGCCTGCTTGTCATATAGCTTATGGAGGGCCAGTAAAGCCACGTACGCTCTTCATGCTACCCTGATAAAGAATGAATTAGGTACCATCGTACCGGAGTTTCCCATTTTTTTCCGTTAGTGTTGCATCTTCCACAAGTTATCGTATTGGAAGACAACAATTCGGTTTGTTTGTACGCGTCTCTATCAATTATTGTACTTTCGTATACATGCCATCGTCCTTTTCCCTCTTACACCCGGCAATATGACTCAGTTGTATATCCGGGTGTACGACCTGTCTAGGAGGGCTCACCTATTCGGCACTCCCAGTTACTCCAGCACACCGCTCTTCAGTTTGTTTCACTGGCCATGAAAACGACTTAGAAAATTAACTCCAGAACACACAGTGCGCTGCAAAATCCATTTTCCTCTGGGACTTCAGGTTGTATGGCTGCGTAGGCTCGATGCGTTGGGCAGCCAGCGCACGACAGGAGACGCACTAATGGGAGCAATGCAGCTGAAAACTCCCCATAACGACATATCGAATTCCCAACCTTCTGTCTGCAATTGTGGAGAAGAGCACAAAAGGAGGGAAAAACGAGCTGGGGCTCTACCGACACTCAACCCAAACTGGGTGCGGGATCTGGTGGAACCCCCACTTGGCGGTGATTGCTTCGTTTTTGGAGAGTAGGCAATGAAGTAAGCAGTTACACAGTTCAGATGGGTATTTTTGATACACTGAGGGGATAAAGCTGGGAAGCACAGTAAACTTGCCGCGACCACATGCATGCGGGAACCAGACCGCTGCGGACTCAAACTACTGAATCACTGGTTCGAAAACGCAAAAGTGGATTAGGGCACACAAATACAACTAGGTCTTCAGATTTGAGAGCCAAAATATAAGTTGACTTTCCTAAATCCGTTGGAGCCTCAGCATCCGCTTGCCCACAATCCAACTGGCCACCTATCGGTCGCAGCGAATGAAACGCCATTCAGATTGGCTCCCAATCCCTACGAAAGCTCAACCATTAACCGTGGAAGCCTAACCACTTGAAAGGAATTAAGGCTAAAATAGGCAGCAGGAAAAAAGTTGTCACACTATCCTAAAGCTTCCCTCACACAATTTCCCCACATGCCATGCCCACTATTATGCACGGCTCACGCTCGTAATCATCCACTGCTCAGAAACAAGCCATGGAGGAAGTCTGGAGCCTTCAATTGATTCATAAAATGCCTTAGTAAGAATTGTAACAATATCACCTTAAAACCGCAAAAAGAAGACTTGTGTAGTTCTGCCTTCGACCTCATGCCCGCGTTGCACAGCCCCTGCTGTGGGCCAGCGTGTCGCTTCCCTACGGTTAATTAGGTGTCCTTTTGCCGTTAGCTGGTTACCGGACGCCTGCCATTTTTTCACGCCGAGCAATATTCTGATCAGACTTTTTCTACAGTCTATATATATATATATATT